CCTAGGTGCCTGTCAGTAAATGAATGGATCAAAAAACTATGGTACATATACAGAATGGAATTTTATGCAGCAGAAAGAAAGAAGGAGCTCCTACCCTTTGCAACAGCATAGATGGAAATGGAAAACCTTATGCTGAGTGAAATAAGCCAGGTGTTGAAAGGCAAATACCATATGATCTCACCTTTAACAGGAAACTAAACAACAAAACGAACAAGCAAGCAAAATATAACCAAAGACACTGAAATAGAGACAGGCTGACAGTGACCAGAGGGGAGAGGGGAGGGAATGTCAGGGGGAAAAGGGGAAGGATTTACAGGAACTAGTACAAAGGACACATGGACAACAACTAAGGGGGGTGGAAATGGGAGGGAGGTTGGAGCACTGGGGGGTGGGCTTGGATGGGAGTAAAAGACAGAAAACTGTACTTGAACAACAATTAAATTTAAAAAAATTAAATAAAAAAGAAATTAATCTTGTTAATATGTTCATACTAGTCAAGGAATTGTCCTTTTAGAAACAAAGTCTTCAAAGAAGGATCTAAAAGAGGCTCAGACAGCTCTTCGAGGGACAGGGGACAATTAGCAGAGTTTTTTGTTTTTTTTTTTGAAGAACCTCATGTCATTCCAACCTAGAAAGGCAACAGGATTGAAGTGATGCACCAGTGGGATTTGCAAAAGAAAACATTGAAAGATCATTGGGCACCAACAATGGCACTTGGAAAGAGAGGAGATGACAGTATTCCATTTCAGGTTATCTAATCCTTTCACTCAGGGTTGAGTGATATCATTTTGTAAAAAACCACTGAATATCCCCAATATGACTTTTATTAAACAGTAACAAGTGCCTCCTAAATATTCAGTAATGCCACGGGGTTAGGAAGAGTCGATGGCAATGCCCATAGTTTTCTAGCCAGGGCAAGACATATATGTGCAGGATTTGTAAACTCTTAAACAATTTATCTTTTTACTTACTGGTTTTGGACTTCTTGAATATGTTTTTAAATTGAAATATTTTATAGATTCATAAAGACTTCATCTTAATGCAGCGCATGTTCTATTGAAAACTTGGCTGATTCATTCTGCCTTATATTGGATTTAGGACTTCAGGGGCAGTAGATGACCTTTTTTCCCTAACAAAGCTATACCAGACTTGGCAATTGAAAACATTAATGGGATTAGACAATCAGTAGCAGAAAAAGGTAATTTTAATTCACAGAAGTATTGGAAGGCAACATTTTCATATCCCGTGATTTACTTCCAATAGTCCTAACATGATAGAAAAGTACCAGCTGGTAAAGCCAAGGTAGAATGCCAGTCAGTGTGGTTGCCCAGAATGACGAGGCACAATGTGTGCTCCTACCCTCTTGAGCAACCCGATACCTGAGGGGGGCTACACAATCTTGTAATTTATGTAAAGCAAGAGCCATGGTTTGTTTCATTGATCTCTTCTAATCACATTCAACAGACATATGCTAGTACATGAAAAAGTGCAGGAATAAATGTAACAAAGCAGATTATGTTTACTATCAAGATAATAAGCAACAAGTAAGTTGGCTCTCGTCTTCAGTTCCACTTTCAAGCCAGTGACTCTGCCATCAAAACTAGGTTTGGCTTGTCAAATCTGAAAAATTGCTAATGCAGGCGAATGCCTTTTCTCTTCTCAAGACTAGCAATGACTATTAACGTTCAAAGTATTGTTGTCCAAGCAGCCTTTTAAACTATTAACGACTTGTATTTTGTCAGACAGCTATCAGAAATTAGATATTATTCTCCTCCACTGGGACTCTGCCTCCTTATTTTTTGGTGTGTCTCATGCCATTAAAGCAAAGAATGTTATAGAAAGCACTTGTGCTTGTTTTGAAAAAAAAATCAAATTCTTGTTATGTGATAATTTTTTCTTTGTTGGGATTTCAGCCACAGAAACAATTTGCTGTTCACAAAGACATAAAATAATAAAAAATAAATTGCCTAAATCAGCATGTGCATTTTTTTGTATAATATAACTGGTGCTAAGTTTCGTCTATATATTGTTTTTGTCTTGCTTTGTTTTGTTTGCTAACTACATACCACCCTGGGACCTAAAAGAAAGTAATATACTAGTTTTATGTTTACTTTCTATACAATCTTGGATTTTTATGTCTTCTGGTAACACATTCTAGATTTCAGTAACCCTCTTTTTTTTTGTGTGTAGGACTTAAATGAGAAAGAATCATTGAACTTTTCAACTGAATGGCTTAGCAAGGAATGAAATAGAACTGAAAATATTGTCATCACTTTCTATTAATTAACATTGTTCTTTGCTGCACTGTTATTTAATTAACCGGGGCAAAAGTATTTTTTCATATCTTTTTTCTATGTCCTATTAAGTAAGGCCTGAACTTTATTTAAACTGTCATTTTAAATACGCGTTCCCATGTTTTTCTTTGTATGTGCCATGGATAGTGTTTTAAGAAAGCTCAAAATGTGTCCATGTGTTTTTGTTCAATTTGTTTGAATTTCTCAGGTAGAAAGCCATGCACACTGGTAGTTTTGAAAATATCAACCAAATAAATGTATTTTTGTTTGTTGAGAGACAGTTTAAAAATATTAATTTTTACATAAATGCTGATGATTCCAAGATGGGGGGTAAGTTTCTACCTATAGTATGCTGCCTTGCACTTAATGTTGCTGATCTTTTCTCATTTCTGTTGTTAGAGAAATAATACATTTAATTTTCAGATAAATTAAAAATAAAATTGTCATAGTGAATAGAGTCTTGATTCATTCACTATACTATTGGCTGGAATGTTGGACATCTACAATAACATTTTCTTGGAAAATATACATGTGTAGTTTCAATGTTGTTTCTTTGCAACTTTTCCCTTTACGATGCTAGTTTATGGGACTTGCCTCTCAGAGATGACAAAACCACAGCTTTATTCTGGATAAGTTGAAATCATGATATGGGAATTTTTGACTCTTCTCCCTTCAGCCAAGGTTTTATCAGTGCTACGGAAGAGTAAGAAATGGACTCCACAGTAGCTAATTTCATCCCTTCAGCCCTTGGTGGAAGTGTTAGTTACACAATGCCCCAAAACAAGTGTGGCTGTGGGGTGTGGAGTCTAGTCTGAGAAGTTAGGGGCCTAATCACTCTTTGTCCATCCATGAGTTAACTGTATTTTGACATGAAATGTATAGCAAACTGCCTCTAAGTATTACTTATATAAGGAAGGCAGACTATAACTTAGAGTTCAATCCAGGCACTTGAGAAGTGAAAGGGTCCTTGTTAGGTTCGAAGAGCTCCTTCTGAGACAGAAAAAGCTGTAGGGATTTTTGTTTGATCTTGGGTTTGCGTAAGTTTGGCCCTCCGAGGTAAGGTGCATGTGACATAATTTAGAGAAGTTGCAGATTTGGATAGATACTAAAAACACTTAAAGAATGCTGCTTAGGACCCAGAGACACTGGTATTAAGAACAGTGTCTCTGCAGGAGTTTGATGAAAGCAGGTGGAATGCAAACATGTTCGCCTGAAATTTTCCCCACTGGTCCATGGTGGTTCCCTCATCTTGAATAGAGTCTTTTACATAAAATGGTTTATGAATATGTGAACTGGATTCGTGAAGTTTTTAGATCAGTCCTGCCTTATGGTAGTATCCTTTCATATGTGATCAAATGGTGTTGATTTAGTTTTGAATGGAGGAAAATCAGGCTGTTTGGGATTGAAGCTTTAACCAGGCTCTGGATGTTATCCTCTTGGCCTCAGACAAACATGGAGGTATAACAGGTTGTTGGGCACATAACAGGCAACTCGATTATTTGCTGACTGAAACCTAGTTGGGGAAAGCACATTTAAAAACAAAGCCAGGCAATAATACGGCTTAACAATATAAAACATGCAAAGCTGTGTGCCCTCTTTGGTTCGGGAAGTACATATCTTGGAATAAAACTGCCAACATTCAGAGTAATCAGTTGTTTGTTTATACAACTGACTATATATGTAAATCTGATATCCCCCTTTTTACATGAGGTGAATTAACTTTGCTACTCTAAGGATTCCTGACTACTTTCCTGATCAGATAGTACATTAAAACAAAACTATGCCTTGGCACTTAGTAACAATGCCTTCAGTAAAATTACCCTTTTAAAACGTTTAAAAAATCCTCATTAATTTTAGAGAGAGGAAGAGAGATATAGAAACATCAACAGGAGAAATATTGGCTGCCTCCTGACAAGGGACTGAACCCACAATGTTTTGGTGTGCAGGGAATGCTCCAAACGAGCCATCCAACCACTGCTAAAATTATTCCTTTATATCCTTGCTATGCATAGACCTAAATGGAGGTCTGTTTGAGTTTAGAAAATTTCTTATTTAAAGAGGCAAAATTTGACAAGTCACAAAAACTCAATTGAATCCATTTTTAAAAGATTTTATTTTTAGAGAGTAAAGGAGGGAGAAACATCAGTGTGAGAATCATTGATCCGTGGCCTCTCTTCCTCTCATATGCACCCCCATTGGGGTCTGAACCCACAACCCGGGCATGTAAGTTGACCAGGAATTGAACCAATGACCATCCTTTCACTTTACAGGACAATGCCCCCAACCCAACCTAGTCACACCAGTCAGGGCCCAATCTACCATTTCTAACAGCTGGTACTGAGTTCGTAGTAGAGAGTTCTATGATGTTTTTCCCAGTTAACTTGTTTCTTTTGGAATACCCCCCCCCAAAATCTACTCAAAAGCTAAACTCTTAGTATTTGGCTAAAATTAAATGATTTAGCCCTGGCTGGCGTAGCTCGGTGGATTGAGCCCGGGCCTGTAAACCAAAGGATCGATGTTTGATTCCCAGTCAGGGCACATGCCTGGGTTGCAGGCCAGTTCCCAGCAGGGGATGGACAAGAGGCACCATACATTGATATTTCTCTCTCCTTCCCTTCCCCTCTAAAGATAAATAAAATCTTTAAAAAAATTAATGATTTAATCTGGTTCATGAGATTGTTAAAAAAAGAAACTCACCACAATATATTGGGTAAAACCATTTTATTAACTGACCAAAGCACTTCATTTTGTTTTGATTTGAGGTAAAACCATTAAACATGGTTCACAAGAAAATACAAGGAAAAGACTATTTAACAAGTTTGAAACCTCACTAGTTGTTCACACAACACTTACAAATTCATACAACTTTACAGTCTACTTAAGCTAAGTTTATTGTTAATAAGACCAGTATCAAGGACCTAGACACTTGACTACTACTCTTGCAGTGGCTCTAGTTTTGCAACACGAGTTAACTGTTACCTTATGAATATACTTTACTTCAAAAACCACTTGGCTAGTGATGTGTATTGTTTCCTCATTATTCAGGAGTGGGTACAGGCTCTTAGGGGAGCAAACACCTGTTCTATATGCCCCTCATGTCAAATCCCATAAACTAACCATTGCCCCAGCATGAACATGGATTTTGGGAAGATAGTCCTATGGTCTTCATGTACTTGGGTTTTTAGGCAGGCCAGCTGATTTTTCCCAAAGCTTCTTTTGAATGTTCAAATCGTGTCCTAATCCTCACTGTAAAGAACTGTTAGTGAGGGTGTCCAAGTGTCTGAAGAAGAACAATGCCATCTAGAAACAACTAAACCGAGATTTGAGATTTCCATTTTCTTCCTGGACAGCTCTATTTAATGAACATCAAAGCCTCTGGGACACAGCAGATTTGCTTTAATTCAATTAAGAATAACCATGACTAAAAGTTGATCCTTTGTTCTTGGTGCTTGCAGGACTTTGCAAATTTTACATTTCTACCTGTTTGGGACAAGTACCCAAGTCTTAACCTGTCTTTAAGGAAAAACAAATTTAAATTCAGCCTGTAACTACATAGAGAAGGAAAACAGTACTCACGTTTGTATTACAGCACTGTAGCTCACTTTCTGGATTTATGACACACAATTATCATGCAGTCTAAGTTAATTTTATCAGTGTACTAGTGATGTTAATTAAAAAAAATTTACAGCAAGTTCAAAACTTTTCTAAATATTGAAATCACCACATTTTAAGACAGACTGGAATGTTACAAATGGTTCTGCAAAATACAAAAATAGATATGCTTCCACTGAATGCTTTAATCATTTTTCCGAGTATTCTCATCTTTTGGTTCTTCGTCATCGGAGTACACAGTAGGCTCCTCCCCCTCCTTTAGCAGTTTGCCCACATGATGATACTTGACTGGAGGTAAAGAAAAAACACAGATGGTCATTTTCATGCTTAATATTAAATTAGTATCATAGTTCATATTAAAAGTTTTGATCAAAGGCCAACAATCTACTCAGCAATGTGTTGGGCTTCTCAAGAGTTTTGTTCAGAAAAAATATGAAACTGGTAGTGATGTGTGACAATGAGTGTTCAAATGCATTGCAAAAGGGTTTAGAAGGCTTGTTGAGTTAGAATATGCTTTAGAAAATGGGCACAAGGATTTAGGGAGGGATTTCCAGAAAATGAAACCACCACGTACAAAAGCATACAAGTGAGAATCAACATATCTGGGATGCAGTAAAGAGACTAGGTCAGCAGGAGTAGGAGTAAGGTTGGCTAAGCAGTGTGGGAAAATATTATAAAGGGTGTGGAAAGCCAGCTTGAGGAGTTTGGACTTATCCTATAGGGGGCAAAGGGCACTGGAGGTTTATGACAAAGGTATCACTAAGTAAAATAGTGCTTTGGCAACAACAACGGTATCAGTGTGGTGTTGTGGGCAGATTACAGCAAGGAGAGACCAGGAGGCCAGCAGGCACATGGGGCAACAAGAGCCAGGAGTAGTGGGGTGTGTCTGTGTGGGAGTGGAAAGGGAAGAATATGAAATAATTTAAAGGAGAACTGGAAACATGAGTTAATGAAGTGAAAACTGGAGATTCCATGGATTGAAATGGGGACTTTGGAGGGGAATATGACATTACAAGGGCTGGAGGAGTTAGTATTGGCAAGAAGCAGGTCCTTGGAAATCTCAGAGAAAGTTCAATCACATTGTGGGGATAGAAATCACACTTCTGGGAGCAAGGAGGTATAGAGAGGAAATGAGGCAGTGATTAGGAACAACCACTTACTAGACAGTTGTCTGACAGTGGAGGGAATGAATGATAATCTAGGAGATGGAGACAATAATAGATAGAAATTTTCCCCAACACAAGGAAAAACTATACGCTGTTAAAGGTAGTGGTAAAGAAGGCAGAGCACTAGTGATGGAGAAAACAGATTTAAGAGGACAAACTGGAATGCAAGACTTGGGAAGGAATGGAGTCAACAAACCACCACCATAATGGCTGTATCACTGTGGTCAAGCTAACGCAGGGTTAATCATCTCAATGTCAGAGGACAAAAGGACAGAGCCTCCTCTTTCTGAATATGGGCAAGAATTAAAGGAATACCCAACCTGTCTAACCAGGTAACCAGACCTGCTTTTGTGTGAAATAATCACCAGGAACAATGGGAACTTCCCTATATAAATATATTATAAAGGTTCTTAGGGTGCTTGGGACTGTGCAAGACAAAAGCTGAGTGGTACTTGAGAAACCTGCCTCAAGGGAAATCTACATACACCCTAGGTATAGCTGAACTTTCACAACAGTATTAGGGGCTAGCCTTAGTTCAAGAGGGGAAAACCCATACTTTTTACGCTACCAGTGAAAGGAAGCCCTAGAACACAGAGCTTCCTTGGTTGTAAATTACAGCTCATTGGTTTCATATAGAAGAATCTATTGGTACAAAGGCATCTTGAGGATGCAAAAAATGAGGGACTATTTTAGATAGCTGAATTATGTTTTTTAAGTAAAATGACATGTCTCTAGAACTGAAAGCTATACTTCGTCTGCTTGGGAACCAAACTCTAACGGTAGAGCCACATCTGGCTAATTATTAACCAAGAACTCTCTCTGAAGTCAGCTTTGGTTTCAAAGAAAATGGTTGGATTTAGCCAAAAAACCCAGTAATATTTAACTGATTATAGGGAACAGCAAATAGAAAAACCACATTTTAAATGAAAAAAAAATCTTCTTTAAAAGAAATGATCATAGTCTTCATATACTACTTCAAAGCTGGGAAAGATTATTCTTCAAATTCTTAATGAAACATTGCTAACAGAATAATTAGATACTTAGATTTGATAAAAAAAAAACCCATGTCTCAGTGCTCAAAATTTGACGTGAACCTCCAACCTTACTTCTCCCCAAGGACTGCGGCGGCCCTTAGCATTAGACAGGAAACAAGTGTCTCCTTTTCTTTTTTTCAAAATGCAGACACCATTGTTGCCGGGCACATTATAAGCATCATTTGTAGAGATGAGGCCTACAGTTAGGCTCAATCAGATTCAAAGAGAAGCTGTTTTGTATAATACAAGTCTCCCATTCTTCAACAGAAATGTGGGCTGCTTTTAAACAGCAAGCTCTATAAATGAGGACTTATGAAAACCCCCTTCTGTAGTCAAGGTGGCCGCTCTCCTCTCTCTTCACACCAACCACCAAATCCTAGTGTGGAATCGATGCAAACCTCTCAGAAACTGAAAAACCAGAAACTCAAGTTTCCATAGAGAATGAGGCTAAAAGTTGATATGCAACCATGGCAAGTGACTCAGCACTGCTGCAATTACTTCAAGCCATGAACTTGATCCATCCAAGGTTCAGGAGCCTATCAAAATGCTCCCAAGTTTCAGGCTGTTTAGCAATACCTATTGGACTGCCCTGAATCCTATTACTGGTTGAAATTTGATCCAGGCACAATTTTGAAAAAAAAATGCTTACAAGTGAACTGAGAGTCCCAGTCATTCAGGGTCTCCTGCTGGGCAAGAGTGAGGTCAGAGAGGTCATCATACTCGTCCTTCAGAGCTTCCTTATCCAGGCAAAATGTGGCGAGGCCCCTGGATGCATCTCTTCCGGCAAAGACCCCATATGGCCCCTCTTTAAAAACAAAACCAAACCAAAGACCAATTCTTTATTACAATTCATTTCTCTGTGGTTCACACACAGAAAATGGCTTCCTTACCATCGACATAGAAAGCCCCATTTTGCAATATACAATTCCATTCGGAAACCATAAGTGATATTGATACTTTGAATCATTATGTAGTGGAGACTAAAAGGCCTGTCATTAACCTTTTAAACTAAAACAATCAAAATATGCTATACATTATCATCTAATTCCTATGATTTTCAAGTAGCTAATAAAAAAGCCATAAATAATTATCTCCCGGCGAGGAGGCTGGTAGGGACTGATCCAAGATAATCTGAGTATGCAGGTCAGAATTCAGCTTTAGGAGACTGAACCCAGAGTCTGGCTCTGCTCTAAGTACCTGGGCTATACACCAGTGAAAGTCAGTTTCTTAAGATAATATACACTAAGGTTTTCATAAGTGAGAACAAACACTTCCTTATAATTGTCCAAAGTATCTTCGTTTACAAGACTGCATTAAATATTAACATTTGGCATCTGCAAGAGAAATTCTTTTATGAGTATCAGTGGTTCAGAATTTATCCACATTACATAATCTTCACTGTCAATAAATAGCTGGCAGAGGCCAGCTGTCACTATTTTTGGTGGGCTTGAAAAGAACAAAGAAAATCCTAAAACTTTCACAGAAAATAGAGGCTGAATCAATACCACAAAATTATTCCATAAAACATTAGATTACATATACTGTGAACTTTACCTTTGAGAGGTGAGTCATTCTGTAGATAAGGTAGGTGTTTAGACTCATTTAAATATTGTGCAAGTAAATGAAAAGAATCCAGTGTACTTTAAAGTGTTTCCCCAAAGGGTGATTGAGTAGCAACCCTGACATTAAAGTTTGTAGGTGGCCCCATTGAAAAGCACTCATTGGGCCTTTCGCTAATGACCCACTGAGCCATCAAGAAAGGGCAAAGTAAAAACACCACTTTTGGGTAAAGTGGCAGCATGTCATGTTTCGCTTCAGTTAGTGGTGTGACAAGGGGGGAAAATAAATAAAGTTCATAGGTAACCACTATGCCAAGTATGAGTCATTTCAATATAGCCTGATCAGCTGAAAGTACAATCCATTAGGATTTTTAAAAGAATGAAATTTATGATCAACTTTAAATGCAAATAAGATTCCAAAAATTAAAAAAAAATCATTATATGCTATTTCCACCGAGAAAACAGGAAAAACCCTTCAGTTTTCCAGTGGAAATGGTAGCATTTAGTGCTTGAAAATAGGCCAATTGTACTGGCTTGGACCTCACCATTTCAGAAATTATGGTCACAGAATACTTAGTATGAGGGGAACATTAAAAGACTTTGGAAAATATTCATCAGAATGTATATTAATTGTAATGTAAACTCCACAAGCAGGGGCAGGGGTTCACTGCCACAGCCCCAGCACCTACATAAATGCCATGCAGAGAATAGGCACCGTAACATGTAATTCTTCGGAATCCTTTGTGACATTAAGTATCCTTTCCACACATTGTCACATATTCATGGGCTCACAGGATGACAATGCAGGATAGACTTAGAGAGATCCCACAGAGGCCATCCTTATCATTTTAAAGAGGGACAACTAAGGCCCAGAGAGAACAATGTTTGACACTGGGTCACATAGCTGGTCAATGATCCACCCAGGGCCAGAACCCATGTTACCTGTTTTGTGCTTTTTGCACAGGCCTACACAATGACTTTACAAACTAAAATTATTTGATGATGCCTCACATGCATGTGTTTTTTTACTTCTTTATGGTGTAGCTCAGTAATAACAGGTATTTGCATGATTGTTCATTGATAATGCCTCTTGGTGTGCCACCCGAGTGACAAATAATATAGGTGTCATTTTCAAATTATTCTGACAATTATACATCTGCAGAAGGTAGGTCTTCTAAATGACCCACAAAGAAAAACTGCTAAGTGGGAAAGTTCCTTAAGAATCATAACACATCTGATTTGGATTAGTTGGACTGGGAGAGTAAAACAAACTGGAGGTGGGGATGGCTGGACTGCTGCCTTCTACCCTCTTCCTTCTCTCCAGAGCAGCATGGAAAAGAGCATGGTCAGTGTGTACATACTTGCTGAGCTCCATGGCTTCAGAGGAGTCCATATTGGAAGAGCTAAAATCTCTTCCTCCTCTACTGCAAATATGTATTCTATTTAACAGGACTTTCCAAACCTAGCTGCATCTGGAACTGGCCTCTTCCCCACCTTGAGTCTTCCGTTGTTATGGTGATTAGGCCGGAAATCTGTATTTTCCTCAGATGCATCAGGTGATTCTGATCCAGCTCAGCTCGAAGAGCCTTAGCTCAGAGGCCCCCTTCAAAGCCTGCCCCTTCCAACAGCTCAGCAGTCTTCCACCCCTCATTTCCCTTCTGGTTGGCTTTTTCTGTGTCTCCACACCCAGCAGCCTTTATAGCCCTATCCCCTTTGTTTGTCAGGATCCTCCCACTTCTCCCTCCCTCCATTTTCAGTATTTTTGGTTTCTAGTCCTTTCTCTCCTACTATAGACTAAAATACTGTATTACCTTTTCATTTTCCTACATTTCCATTGTCCACCACATTCAGCTTTTATTCCTCCCTCAACCAGTTTCTTTCTCCCTATGGAACCGCCCTTGTTCACCTTACAGCTTTCCCCCATCTGCCAAACGTAGTGCGCGCACGCGCGCGCGCGCACACACACACACCAAACACATGCCACACACATACCTGACACATGCCAAACTCCAAGCACCCGCACGCGCAGGCACACACACACGCCTGACAAGCCACATACACTGACTACACGCAAACAGCACACTCATATCACTCATCCCCCCCCCCACACACGATGCTTATACCTGCTGCTAATCCCATCTCCTTTTCCTTCTCCCACACCCTCACATTCCATCAGGGCTACTCCTGGCGTCATCGGCCTTCACGTCGTCTCCCAGGCTGGGCCTCCCTCCTTCCCTAACCCCCCATGCCGCCCTAAACACCACCCCCCCTTTCAGAAATCCCCCAAACCCGACACCTTCGAAACTCCCCTAACACTGCATTCTGCTGTGTGTCCCCCACACTCCTTTTCCAGCCTGGCGATTTCACGCACCTACCCCCACCCCCCGGCTTAAGACATCAGCCTCTCCGCACACACCCCCAACCCGGCGCCGGCCGCACGGGGCAAGGAATCTGCGTCCCCATGGCCCACAGCCCTTCTAGAGCGCCCCTTGTACCCCCGCCCACCGGGAAAGCCTCAACGCCAACTCCGCACGGCTCTCTGCCTGCCCACCCTCACTGGTTCGGTCTCCATTCCCCCCCTCGAGGGCGCCCCGCTCCCCTCGTGCCCCTCCCGGATTCGTCCTCGTGCTGGGGCCCCATCTTTTGTTTTCGCATCCCCAGGGCCAGCAGCCGTACCGGGCCCGTAGAACTTGCGGCCTTTGGTCACGTCGAACACCTTGCCGTTGATGGCCATGAGTATGCGCGGGTCCTGGATGCCGTCGAAGCGCCGCAGCTCAGCAGGGGTGAAGTCGCGCCGCTTAAGGCGGGGCAGTGGGGGCGGCTCATCGTCGTCGCTGTCGCTGCTGGCCGCTGGCTGATCTCCGCGCACGATCTTGTAGAGCAGGAAGATGCAGAGGCCAAGAAGCAGCAGGTTGAGCGGCGACGTGAAAATCTCGTTCAGTAGCCCGCCCTCCAACTCGCTTGGGTCGGCGCCCGTCGCCACCACATCCTCGGCAGCCATGATCACTGAAGCAAAGATTGGGCCGGATTTGGGAAGGCTCCGGAACTTGCTGCTCTCTCCTCCCTCTCCGCGCGAGCTAGTGGCGCGCTCCGCTAGGCGAACGGAGACTAATCAGGAGAGGAGGCGGAGCCACGAGGGGAGGAGGCGGGGCTGAAATACGCGGAGTCTCCCAGCCTCGTACCTCCCGTAGCGGCGGCTGCGCTCGGCTGGGCTGAGTCTGTCCCTGCCCAGTTTAGGCCCCCTACCTTCCTGCGGGTCGTGGGTCCCCTCCTCCACCCGGATCCCGCCTTCCCTGCAGCTGAGAGAGCTGAGTCCACTCCTCAGTTTCACCTGCGTGGCCCCGGCCCTTCCTGGCGCCATTCTCGCGCATCCTCCAGCTCACCCAGACGCTCTCGCGCAGCCCGCTACCTCCAGACACCGGAGAGGTTTGGCTCTGCTGGCTCTGAGGCCCCCGTTCCGCCACCTGATGCGTGCCAGACACAGACTCCATTTCTCTTGCTTTAGGATTCTCCCCCGCCTCCCATTCTAAAGCCACATTTTCCGCCTGCCATCCCCCAGGACCATGAGGCTCTCACAGGAGACAGAAAACTTAACTCTTCGATCTCCGTTTTCCACCTTCAAGACCCACCTTAACCATTCTCACCTTTGGGAACCCCCATTTGCCCTCTTTGACAACCTTTCTCAAAACTTACCCCCTGTACAGTGGGGTGGACACCCCTAGGATAGGTGAAGTCACGCATAAGCCCCCTTCTGACAATTCTCGTAATATCTGGGGAAACTGACCGGATCGCCCAATTTACTCTGGGCTCATTCTCAGTTCTAAACTCTGCGATCCCCAATTTTCTCAGTCCCAACGCATCAGCAAGCAATGTTCTGTTGCTGCTCTTTAGTTTTTTTAGGGGGAGGTGCTTAGAATAATAAGCAAACTTTCTTTGTTTGGCAGCGTTCTTCTGTTTGAATTCTGTCCAGCTACCCTTGCCAGTCACAATAACCCTGTACTGAAGCCCAGACGAAGGCAGGAGGTTTGGTTCCTTTTTCTAGGTATTTCACCCGGCCTTTGATGTGCCTAACTGTCTGCACAGGAGCAGGCCTTATGGAGGCTGTCTATACCCTTTAGAGTCTTAATCTGGCCTCCTTTATGGTGGCAGGGGGAGGGGAACGGAAGAAAGGATTGGGGGAAATAATTAAAACCAAGCCAAGCCCACATCTGCAGCCCAGAGCTGTACTTTTCCATCAGGAATTCTGTTCACTTGCTCATAGTTTATTCCCCGTCCCAACATGCAGGAGACTTGAGAGAATTGGCTTCTTACCTCAGAATTCTAAAAATTTCTGGCACAAACTGCTTCCATCCCTGCCCCCACCCCATCTTATTAAATTATTTAAAGTGCATGTGAGCTGAACAGTCTTTATGTCGGCCCATGCATTTTTTTCACAGGTCTAAATTTAGGATTAGCTGAAATAGTCCTCTCAGATCTTTTGTCAAACTTCTTCAATTTAAGCAAAGGGAAACAGACTCAAACTCTGCTGTACTTAGACTCTAATTACCTTTTTTAAAAAAAAACTGTGTGGCCAAGACAATTCGCAGACCAACAAACCTGGGAAAAAATATTTTCGTTTGCAATCAATGTACAAAATGCAGGTAGATATCTTTTAAGAGCTCATTTTAATTGATAAGAAAATCCAGACGGTTCTAGTCAATAAGTGGGCAAAAGTAGAAATAGGTAGCTCACAGAAAAAGGGATATGAAAGATGAATAATCACATGATAAATGTTCATTCTCTTTAGTAATGAAAAAATGGTGATACCACTTTCACCAATCACTTTCTCATAGGTAAGATAAAAGGAAAAAAAGGATGATATGTAATGCTGGCAAGAGTGGTAAGAATCTTGTCACACTTTTGGGGACAGTAAAAATTGGTATAACCTCTTGTTATTCATAAAAAATATTTTCTATCCATTACTCTCACTTCTAGAAATCTACTCTTTGTTCCAGTAATTCCATCCCTGGGACTCCATCCCCAGGAAATATTCAGAAATGCAAACAAAGATTCTACTGCTAAGATGCTCACCAGAGAATTGTTTTTAATGTGAAAAAACTGGAAAGAACCTGAATGTTCGACTTTAACAAATAGATAATTAAGTGGCTTGAATTGTGACAAAACCATAAAATAATGTATGACACAGCCAAGTAAATATTATCATGACATGGGAAAATGCTTATGTTTTAACCTTAGAGAGCAAAACAGGATACGAAACTATATACAGTATAAAGTCAACTGTATAAAAACTGCATAAAAGGAAGCCTGAAAGGAAACATGCTAAAATGTTAACTGTTTTGATTGTTAGTTTCTTCTTTATATTCTTCTACTTTTCACAATGAACATATGTCATTTTTAACCTCAGAGTGGGGGGATAGTTTATTATTTTCTGAAAAAAAAAGTAGAATGGCGATACATGTTCACTATAACTAACTTAAATAATATGTATGTGCATAAAGTAAAAAAATGACACATGTCTCCCTGTTCTACTCCCCAGTAATCTTTAAATCAGGCCCACACATTAGCAGTTTGGTTTATATTCTTGCAGACATACAAAAGGCACATACACACAGATTTTTGTATTAGCAAATTAGGAAATTCTTAAAATAAATGATTTGTCAGTTTTTATTCTAATAGAGATGCAAAGTAAAAAATAAGAACAAATCATTAGCTCTACCCAGATAACCCTGTTGGTACTTTTTAAGTCACATTTATTTAAGGTAATAAAAAGAAACTATAGAAAAATCCAAAAGATAAATTGAAGCCCCTCTGCCGAAACTTGATTGCCTCTAGTCAAATGTAACCACTATTAAAAATGGAGAAAAGTGGTCAGGGAAATACAAATACTGTATGGTATCTCTTATATATGGAATCTAAAAAAAAAACTGAATTCAAAAGATCAGAGAGTGGAATGATGGTTACCAGGGGCTGAAGGTTGGGGGAATTGGACAGATGTTGTTCAAGGCTACAAATTTACAACTAGTTGATAAGTCCTGAAGCTCTAATGCATGGTACAATGAATATAGACAACAAAACTTGCTAAGAAGCTAGATTTCAATCGTTCACACCAGGAGAAGAAATGGTAATTATATGACACTAACAGACGTGTTAGCTAACTGTACAATGGCAACCATATTGCAATCTAAATTTATCAAATCAATATATTGTACACCTTAAACTTACACAATGTTATATATCATTCTAAAATTATGTCTCAATTTTTTAAAGATATTATTTATTTATCTTCAGAGGGGAAGGGAAGGAGAGAGGGAGAGAAACATCAATGTATGGTTGCCTTTCATGCGTCCCCTGCTGGAAATTGGCCTGCAGGGAACTGGTCTGCAACCCAGGTATGTGCCCTGACTGGGAATCGAACTGCGATTGTCTGGTTCACAGGCCCGTGCTCAATCCACTGAGCTACACCAGCCAGGGCTGTCTTAATTTTTTAAAAGCAAGGGAAAATCTTTTTATGGTGGGCTACAGGGGATTTGTAATTTTCATTTGTCACAGTCTAGAGTACATTCTGGTATAATCTGTAGTCCTTTGGAGGGGTAGGGGTAAAGGTAAAGGAATCCTGATTCATACAGAGGGTAGAAAATGTGTGCAATTTAAAACCTCAAGAAGAGATACAGCTTGCAGATGAATGCTTTCAAACCAGATCTGAAGTTAAATAAAGTGAGCTCTTAGGTAACACTGGGATGCTGAGATTGTTAAGGAAAAGTATCCCACCATTCTGCCATATGTCACAATACTGGATGGAAATGTCTTGTCCAGAGTGGCAGTTCTCAAGTTCTTGGGAAGTAAGCAAGGTGCTCCTGACCAAAAGTCCTCTCCAGAACATGGGAGTTGCATTATGTATGTTCTTTGGCTTCAAATTAATTTGTAAAGCCCATGTACTTGACCTGAGGGCCACTTATTTCCCAAGATATATGTTGCCTTCTAATGTTTCCAAACTTCCTGCCTCCCTTAGAATTATTTTCAAAGGTTTTTAAGAGCTTTTAAAGGGGAATAAGACAATTGGCTGATTAGCTACAAAATGTGTGGGAAGTAATTCAACCTCACTAGTAATCAAACAAACCCAAAGGAAAAACATTAACAGCATACCATTTTTCATCATTCAAATTACTAGGACATTCTTGTTTGCCTTTTGTTTCTTAAAGCTTTTTAAAAATGGTAATACTCAGTATTGGTAAGCATGTAGCAAGAGAAGCATTCTAATACAATGCTCTTTAGGATAAAAGATTGGCTTTGTTCACCAATGTGTTTAAGCCCCTAGACCAGTCTGCCATGTATTAGGTGATCACTAAATATTTGTTGAATTAAAGTATATTGTAAGTGGGTACAGATCTTTTAGAAAGCTCCTCTTGCAATATACATCAAGAGCTTCAAGTTATTCATAACCTGTGACCAAGAAATCTAACTTCTACAAACTTTTCCTAGGGAAGTACTCAGAGATGTAAAGAGATTTGTATGCAAAAATCACAAAATATAATATATATATTTAAAGGCTTTATTTATTTATTTTTAGAGAGAGGAGCAGGGAGGTAGAAAGGAAAAGAAACACCAATGTGTGGTTATCTCTCGTGCACCCCCTACTGGGGACCTGGCCCACAACCCAGGCATGTGCCCTGACTGGGAATCAAATCAGTGACCCTTTGGTTCACAGGTTGGCGTTCAATCCACTGAGCCACACCAGCCAGGGAGGCAAAGCATATTGTTTAGTAGTAAAAAAATGGAAACAACTTAAGTATCTGGAGGTGTTCACCATGTCACTTAGAGTAAAAGCCCAAAGTCCTTATAGTGGCCTACGAAGCCCTGCAGGATTTGCACCGCCCCACACTACCCTTACCTGTAGGACTTTAGGAGCTTGGTTTCCCACTTCCTTCCCTTGTCACTCTACTACAGCCACAGTGGCCTTCTTGCTGACCCTCAATCAGGCATATTCCAATTCCTCTGTATCTGTGATTCCTTTTGTTGGAATGATCTTCCCCAGATGTCCTCATGGCTCATTCCCTCACTGCTTTTAAATCTCAATACATCCGCCTTCAACTTTCCATCCCTTTCC